TTTGACCAACTAATATTATTTTCGGACCACTGCATCGAGTTCAAATTTAGCACTCCCGTTTAGGTGTTTTTTTTTTTCAGGTCGATTTATATAATGATTATGCAGTGAAATACCACCGAGATGTTATTTTCAGCCATTTCAGCATCCCTGGGCCGAACCCAATTCGTGGGCTACAGTTAACAAACCGGCGACACACTACGCTGCATCGGTACGCGAAAGATTTCCGGACCGTATCGCGGTCCGACGTGGCCGCAGAGGTGTTCCCACGTGCAGGGACGGAACTAAGGGGTGGAAAACGGGGAGGGGGGATTCATTCATGGGCGTAAAATTTTAGAGGGTGTAATTTTTGTAATTATTAACAACCGATTTTATGGTTTTAACTTTGTTAAATACTGATATCAGGTTGGAACTAGATAAGTATAATTGTATGTTAATTATTAGAAAAAAATTCTCGCGAAGAGTGTATTCGATTATTGGTCTGCGATAGGACGTAATTTTAACGTTTCCCCCGGACGTAAAAATTCACAGTTCCACCTCTGCCCACGTGCCGCGGCGGGCGCGATCGTGTGTAGAGCGGAAATACGGAAATACGACCCAACTCAAACAACGCCGCGGCCCGACCGCAAATGTACGCACAGGAGCGCACACAAGTGTATTGACTCGATTTACTGAACATTCGTCGTAGTATTTTACTCTCTAATCCGCCGCGTAAACACGAGCGGCGCACACACACGCGAACACGTTCGTTACGTTTATATTGCAATACAATTGCGCGTTTCCAGCCACGGTTTACCGTCCAGGTCCAGCTGACCGGTTAATTTAACTGCGATTAAAACTCTCCGCGGGAACACGCGCTCGACTCCGAAAACTCTAAACGCAACCTGACAGCGTGACACACACGCGGACACAAGTTTCCGGGGAATTGGTTTTGTTGTTCCCGCGGTGCACTCTGTCTCGATTGCTAAACTTTAGAGTTTACCCAACGCCACCGTGATTAAAGGCCTAACGGGCTAACACGGGAAAATTTCAAATTTTAAAACCTCGCTTCGGGTACGTAAACCCTAATGCTGTCCGTCGTCTAATACGCTACAACCGTAGCGGCACGAATATTTTGTTTTTTTCCGTTCAACCGTTATGCGTTCATTGTCCACTTGAAGAATCACTTTCCGTTTGTCTCTATTAAATGTTGTTGTTGAATTGAAATGGCAATGGTAATTGTTTTAAATAACTAGAATAATTATTTTATTCTTATTTCTTATACGTAGTACCCTTGTAAAAGAGTTAAAACGAAAATATTGAAATCGTATAAAACTAATTAAACTGAACGGGTTATGGAAAACGTAATCGAATAATTTACCCATTTTATAAGTTATATGATTTTCACACAACTTGTTTTGCTTAAAGCATTAGCATAACATGAGCCATGAATCAAATTATTCGCTTGTGTGTTACATAAGACAGATTTTAAATTAAATAAACAGTAGAATGTATTTATTTTAATACTAATTTATATTGGATATTACAATTTTTTTAAGTACATATTATTTGATAAAAATTTAAAAATAACATGTGAAATTACAATGTATATATATAAATTCACAAACATTTTATTTTTAATTAATGTCTAGAGTGTAGTTGAACAGTAATTTATTAACAATAAGTACGAAAAAATAGTTTCATTTATTATCTAAGTGACTTGTGTTCAAAAAATTTTGAAATAGTTTCTTAAAAATTATATTATTTGGAATCGTGATATACTTATATGTATAATTTTTGTTTACTTAAATTGTAAACGTTAATTTACAATATAGGTACGCCTTTATAGAATTAATCGAAGTCTGTTTTGAATTTTTTCCAATAAATATACAACAATTTTTAAGTTGCAAAGTATAAATATATATACATTGTTTACGAACGAAAAACTGATAACAAAAGTAGGCTTATAGTTCGTTTTAATTTAAAAAAAATTTAAAATAGTAACAATGAAATATGACAGCTGGAGCATTGTTAGAATTGTAGCAGAGAACAAATGATTGAAAATAGGTAGAAGCAGTGTTTATTTCAGGGGAGTGACCTGGGAGTGGGGGAAATACCTCCCTGGGGAAAAATGTTTACCCCCCGACAAAATATATGGCATTATTACGTAAACTAGGTACAAATAATTGTGATGCGATAATATGTGAAATGAGTTATTGTTCAATCTTAAATTATTTTGTGCGTCACGGTTGATAAAAAAAAAGAATAAATATTTAGTATAATATTTTTTTGGGATATTACCAGTAGTATCAGGCAATTCAAATTCAGGTTGTATTAATGTCACACTAGAAAATAAGCTAGCATAAACATTTTTTTAATTTCTTCTAATAGCATGTAAGCAAATAATTATTATATTATTATTATTATTGTTATAAGTATCTAAATATATATAAGAGAGAGGAAGTACTAATAAATTAGTTCTTCCGTGGTAATCAATAGATAATTGACACGACGACTACAGAAACATATGCGTTATTTTAATTGTTACTTTTATAAACATTTTATTTTTTTGTATCTATAAGTACAATTTTGTTCGGCGTATACGACATACCTTTTCGTATATCAATAGTCAATTAATGTGTATCAAATTGTACGTTAACATAATTGATTTGAGATATCTTATCACTCTTATTACCCTTATCTTATTATCCTGTAGGAAATTTTTAAAATGTGCTATCGTCTGTCCATGTATATGTTAATGAATGTACAGTAAATGTCTTTTCTATTTTTTTTTTTTTTTTATACAATTAACCAAAGTTAGATTTTTAAGAATATACGTATTCGTAGGTATCTATCCAATACCAATAAATTAAGCTTAAAACGATACTTTTACTTCATTTAATTATTTACTTCTAAGGCATACCCCCTTGGAAATGTACGATACCTCCCCCCTCCCCCGGGATAGAAGGTCTGAAATAAACACTGGGTAGAAGGATACGAAGAAAATAAAATTACATTGTTATATTATATCCATCAAAGGATGCAACATGACTGACCAAATTGTATCGATACAGTGATGTAATGTGTTAACCATAGAAAATTAAATTTAAGTTTCTTAAATGGTTTTAATACAAAATAAATTTACTGATAATGATCCATAAGTAAATATTTATGTAACTAATATAATATGTAAGTAAAACTATATATACCTACCTATATATGGTTTATGTTACACATAATGTGACTTAATTTTTTTTTTTAAGATATTTAATTTATTTAATTTAACTTTCAATAGTCATATAATACTTAGAATTTTACACAGTTTAATAATTTTATATCAATACTATATTGAATCATTTTTTTATTGAATTGTCTAACTGCATAAATAAAATCTTTATTTTTTTTATTGGTACTAATTATGAATTATGCCTCAAAACCTTACGTTGCTCACCGAATAAATTCTTGTACAAAATACTACAATATTTTTAAAACTGATTATGAAAAGAGTTTGTTGGGGAGTTTCATTTATATTGAAGTTAGAAATAAGAGAAAGTAAAGGAGTCAAAAACAGTCATAAAATGTAAACCAATTATTAAAAGTATGAATAAAAATTCATTTATTTCACGTTTTTCCAATGTTTTTTTTTTTTTTTTTTTAAAAAAGCAAATGAATAAAGCTGCCGTAATTATTATAGATACAAGATCGGAATAGAAATAAAATGCAGCCCTCGAAAATAAATCTCTTCTAAACCACCATTTTCGTCTGATTATTTTACGTTTATCATTTTATCAGATCGAATTAATGCGATTGTACGTGTCAACATTATTAACAAACATCAAATTGCGCAATAATCCCAAAGATAATTTAAAGCTAGAAAGTTTTTTTCGCACAACAATCAAAGTATATAACAGAGAATTTTTTCAAAGCGTGAATTTTTAGTAGTACTTCTACGAACAAATCTATTGACGTCGTAACCTGCGTCACGGCAGATATGAATTCATGATTGGGATATTTAATGCAGTTATTTCCGACGCAGATATTATCATAATTAATTCGGATTTTATATGCAGAAAAAATGGTCTGGAACATTTATCGAGGGTTTTAATATTACACGCGCATGGGAATACTTGAATGATATTGATATTTGATTACTTTGTAACATATTGAACTCTTATAAGCAAAGAATCGCGTTTGAAGAATTGTATGAAGCAACAGTTCACGAGCCCTACAAAGCCCATAAACTACAAAGCATTTAAATTGAGTTTGAAATATTTTCCAAGCAAATTTGCCTTTGAAGTTAATATTATGTTTGTTCGAAGAAGGTCGGAGTAGACGTTGAAGTTCTTTGGTCATTTGGGTAAGGACGGTGCCAATCGCTTAGTGCTGCACATATTTTTTCGACGGATGAGTTATTATCTATGCACAAGAAGCGTAAAACGAAAAACGTCATAAGTTCGTCTTTACACCAAGCACGTTATTATATTGTTGTATATAGTAATATTATTCGGAGGGTGGGACACTGCCGGCACAAGCGTTGTCGTGCATATAATGTAACGCAGTCTGAGAATCTTCGAATATGACATATAGTATTCGATATAAAAACTAAATCGGTACATTCCAAGCAGGTAGGTATACTGCATCGTTATGTGAAAAATTGCTCAAAAAAAAAAAAAAAAAAACACGGGATAAAAGTGTTTATAACAGTGCGCGAGTTGTAAACGGAATTCGAAGTGCCAGTAAAAATACTAGTGATATCGATTATGACCTTTTGCTTTATTTCATATCATGTTGTTGTTCTCAAAAAAGTTATAGTATTGTGTAATGTACTCGTATTTTATAATATCCTTAAATATTATCCAAGTACTCTTAGTATGTGACAATATGGAGGAATGTAATGAATTATAAACTTAATCATTATAATTGCCATATGATATTGATTGTATAGTATTTCGTACAGAGGACATAACAAATTTATTTATTTTTACAGCATATTAAAATTATAAATAATATTTTAAAATGGTTACCTTTTTATGGAAGCAAAATATTGTTTCATGAAATCTTCGGCTAGCTTTAGCACTTCGGCTTTAGGTCTCACCGTTGAGTTATGTAATGTCGGCGGTAACATAATACTGCCCATACATGCTTTCTCATTGCACATCGGAGGCTGAAAATATTATGTTAATAAGTTAGCTGTAAATATTGCAAATTAATTTTACATATTACTGAATATAATATTAGGTAAACAATGTATTATAATATACGCTTTTTAACTATTATTTCTATCCTTATGAGAGAAAGAAAAACATCACTAGTTTAATCAAAAAAATATGTTTTATGTGGAATAAAATAATTTAGTGTAAATTCATAACAAAGGCTCCATTTTTTTTTTTTTTTTTAAGAAGAATGTGATGTAACATTTTTTCGCTACCTACAATAGATTAAAATTTATTTATATGTTAATATTTGTAAAATTTTAAATTTTTTGGTAAACTATGAAAAATTATTTAAAAAAGTTACCAAAGAAATAAAAACGCTATATCGTAGATAATGTTCTTTTTTTTTAAAAAAAAGAAGCTTTTACCATAAATGTATACTGAATAATATTGTCTCACACAGTATGGTATTCTTACCAAAAAATAGTAAATAAATTATTATTTTATCTATAGATCTACGGACACGGTCATGATTAAGTGTCACTCACTCGCATGTATGCAGTTGTATTGTAGCCTTAATTATTATGGATTATAGAGCGTCAAACCTGGGACACACTTTTCAGTATCACGTCCTCTTTATCTATATTTTTAACAAAATCTATTTAGATATATTCGTCGATTCATTTTACTAACGAAATTTTATAATACATATGATCTATTTTATTCGAAAATGTATTTACTTATTTCTGATTTATTGTTCAAATAGTTTAATAATTTGAAATCAATTGGAATATAATAAATTAATTTTAAAATCATGTACATATATTATAACTAACCACCAAAACTTTTGTTAATGTAGATGAGAAATAAGAAATAAGTTTTTGAAAACAAGTATTTGATTCTTACATTAACATAAATGACACAGTTGAAATAGTGTAGAATAAATAATGTGGCTTGAAAAAAAAATAAAATCTTCATTCAAGCCTCAATGTATAATTTCTCACAGGCTACCTGCCACATTATATCAATAATACACAGCAATTCTATTAGCATATTTAAATAATACTAAACACACATAATAATAATAATTCACAGTTATGTATGTTTTGGAATCAGCGTGTATACATTTATTATTATTTCTTGTTTGCTGAGGTGATATACTATTTTGAATATCATAAAATATACTACATTACCATTATATATATATACGAGTATAAATATAAAACATTGTAACAATAATATTAAAAATCTACGATTAAAGTCTTACGATGTAAAATTTATATTTTTTAAATTGTACTTTTTTTTAAAAAAAAAATATGGTGGCTTTTTTGTGAAATTTTTACAATGAGATGTATTTATAATTTAAACTGTAAAACAAGCGTTAAATACACTTGTATTAATTCGCATAGTGTGTTGGGGAAAAAGTGTTGAAAATAAATGCATTATAAAGTGTGGTAAATTATAATTTAAAAAATATGTCAATTATCATATTGGCATAGTTTATTATAAATGCATTTCAAATTGAAAATTATTTTTTATACAATACATTAAAATAATTTAACATTCAACAAGTTTTTAATTTGAATAAGATAGTTTTAATTCATTTAAAATTTTAGTTATTCTTGTCAATTATAAATTCAAATTAAGGCAGGAAGTAATTTTGGTAAATGTATATAAGCTTAAAAGGTACATTTGTGAAGAAAACTACAATTTTGATCAAAATAAAATATTTATTTAATAATAATATTATAAAAAAAGTTTGTAAAACTAAATCGAGAATTAAATATGTAAGTACATAAAATTGTAATCCAAACATTTTCGAATGCAAGAGAAAATTTTCTTGTGTAGTACTAAGTATTTTAAACCTATAGTGAACTTTCTATTAATAGAAATCTAAACTTATTAAATTTTAAATTAAAAAATGTTACAATACCGCATTTTAGATATTTTACAGATTGACTATATTATGAGAGAAAATTAAAAGTTATAAAAACTTAATATTTGAAGTAAATGGTTTCTCATCAATTGTTTCGACTAAAAATATATATTAAGAACAAGAAATAAAACTAACAAGTTTGGACACAAATTTTCATTTAAATGTTTAATCAATACAACAAAGGTTCTACTTTTTTTTTTTTAAGAGCAATAATTTAACATTTATTTGATTTTTTTATTGAATTACATTAAATTAAGTTTAATGCGGTTTCCGACCGAAGAATGGGTCTTTTAGATCTAAAAATGTGAAGTTGGTTTTTACTGTTAAGATGTACGGGTCTCAAGAATTATGAATTTATCTCGTTCATTTATAAATCATATTAGTTTATAGTATTTATTACTATCACGTTACAATGAAATACCAATTAAGTGTTTGCGAGGGAATGTACTCCAATCACTATAAGACTAAAATCCTTTTTTTTTTTATTCATTTTAAAATAAAATAAAACTAATTATTTTTATAAATAATATTGTTTTTAATATTATTTTCTTTTTTTTATGATAAAGAAAAATTAATTTTAAGAGTCAGCTTTTTGTTAAAAGGGCTGGAGTCGATCATGTTATAAAAAAAATCAGTATAGGCAATTTAACATAATAGCATTAAATTACTTGTGTGTGTAAAGTAAACGAACATAAGTGTGTGTAAGTCTAACTCGCTCAATATTTACAAGGAACCGTTACGCCGTCGACATAAAAAATCGATATAAAAACAACTAATTATGTGGGTCATAAATATTGTCAAAAGCAGGTGATTTTAGTGTTCTTTATTTATACACCGAAATACCTATATGGTGCTCAGAGGAAGATGAGTGTTAAAGTAGACGAACCATTACAACTTGGGTACTTACTACTTATTGCAATTGATACATATTAATATTATGTATTTATGCTATAACTAGCTGACCCGACGAACATTGTTTTGTCATATAAATTATTTCTAGAGAATATTTTGTTAGAAAAAAATAACTAATTTATTATACACATGTAAGGATGTGGGTAAGGATAAGAATGTAAGGAAGAGGTATAGAGTGCTATGAACGGTGACGAAATATAAAAATGAAAAAACATCAAACATTTATTTTTTTAATAATTTATTAAAATTGATCCATTAAAATTATATACATCGCTAATTATGACAATATTAGTAAAAAACAATATCTACCTCTTAATGCAAAAGAGTGTATCTACAATATTTTTTTTTATTCCATTTTTCACCAACCCAAACTGGATGGTTCGAGAGCACGCCACGTATAATTGTCCATGCGAAAAATATGATGTGCTCAAATCTAAGCTACAGACAGACATCGTTGGGCCTTAAGACTTATTGATAGACATTGCAAATGCCAATCTAATTGGAAATTGAAGGCGTTTAAATTGTATTGGCACATCTGTGGGTATAATAGAGATTTGTGGTAATAATATATTTTTACCTCAGAATTTGCCATTTAAAATGATGGCTTCGATAATATTTTTCATTTATTTTTTAACGACTTATCGCGTGCCGTTGTACAACCATGGTGGGTCAAATTACGAAGAAAAATAACTGGAGATCAAACCTTCAATTGTAAATTATGCGGTGGCATGCCTGGTAAATCCAATGAGTTTAAAACTGTTGGATAATTTAAAGCTTCAGTAGCATCACAAACTGTATCAATAGATTTGTATAACATCAAGTCTCCTGGTAACAAATGTTGTATCTTGAGATTCAATTCATTGACGTCCACAATTTTTGCTGCTAAAATTACTCTTTCTGCCAGCCACTCATGATTTGTGTATTGTCTGTGTACATTGGAAAATATCTGGCCAATGAAAGCATCTTGCGAATCAATGATTGTGCAGAAATCGGTCGGTAATTATATGCATCCCGTTTTATCTGTAGTAACTTTCCCATCACCGATGTCTAACAATTGTTTTGAGAACTTTCCGCACGCAGCTTTTTTTGATTAAATTGCAAGTATCGTAATAATTCGCTCTCTATCTTTACATACATGTCGGCCATAAACTGTTGACAAAGCTCACGACATCATAGAATAACGTTGTCCTGATCGCATCTAATCATTAACCGATATGCATAATAATCCTTTGAACTAATATTCTTGTTTGATTTGGTACCTGTCGCGGGATCTTGTTGTTTAATATTTATGTAATACCCGTCATTTAATACAAAAAATAAAATTAATAGGTTTTAATAGTTTTGTAATAGTTTTTTAATAGTTTTATTTAATAATTCGACCGGATCAAAAATTATTAAATTAAACTATGATTTATTAAACAATAGCACTTTTCCAAGAATTTTTTTTCGTAAAATCCTTCTACTGATAATTACGAACAATTAAAAAAAATTTGAGCCAAATCGGCCCAGCTGTTCTTAATTGATGAAATGTTATACATTTATATATATATATATATATAGATAACTAATAACTAATTATTTATTAACTTTATCAGACTAAATTTACGCCTAAAACTATTTAACTCACATAAATGAACATAATATTGTAAGTTAGATATTTTGGAGAAAAAAAAATGCAATCCAAATAATATGAATATGCAGTCAAATTATATTTTTATATTTTATTTACAAACTTTTGCATTAAAAAACTTAAATTTCATTATGATTAGTTACGTAAATGACGATTTCTATCAACTCTCGAATCTATTAACTCGGGCTTGAATCGCTTGAATATAAAAATTTTCTAAAAATGCTTTTATTTTGGTTACGAAAAATCATCATCTCTTAAAATGTTTTGATATAATATACCTGTAAACATACGTAAATGGAAATAAATTTACGATAGTTATTATCAATATTTATTTGTAATTTAAACATAATTACTTTTAGGTGTCCATATTATAAAATAACATAACAATCTTTGAGTTATTTGGAGTTGACCCATAACTTGAAAATAGTATTTTTTTTTAATTGTAGATTGCCTCGACTGTCAATAGTTGCATATGTTAATTTTCCAGTTTCTATAGTTTCTTTTGAAGTTTGTTTAATTGTAGATGGGCATTT